AAGAGCGGTCGGCGCCCCAAGGGCCGGAAAGATGGCGGTCCTGGCACCTTTAATTGCTCTAGTGTATTCAGTGCCGCGACTTTCACGATGGCTGGCCCGACCTTACTACCTTCTGTCAGCCCTGCTCTCTGCTGCCTTTGTACTCGTGAGGAAGCTGCCCCCTGTCTGCCACAGTCTCCCTACGCAACGCGAAGACGGTAACCCGTGTGACTTTGACTGGGTGAGCGACCCCCGCCTTAGGACCCCGCGACCTTGACTCTCCCTGCCCCTGCCCCTGTGATTGCATCCGGGAGCCCCGAGGTTTACCTTTTTGAGAACATCTGAGGTTCCGAGCCTCTAGCGGACTTAACAAACTATTAGGAGTGTAGGGCGTGGATCGTCATTGAGCCTAAACCTCTTGTTTAGGATGGGAAAACATCCGGTTAGCCTACACAACAGCCTAAGTCTCCCTTTTGAGTCCAAGCTCCTTTCTGTCTCACAGTTCATAGTCGACAACAGACCTACCCAAACTAGGCAAGTACACTGTTTTCCAGAGCTGCTCATTATGTAAAACCTTTTGAGGAACCAGTGAGTTAAAACAAGGCAAGTAGTAGTCTCGTTTTATTGATGAAGAAATTGATCTAGGCGTGGTTAGGCGACTTGTCCAAGGTCACACAACTAGTGAGTGACTAGGACTTGAAACCACTCTTCGGCCATGGTATCAGCACGCTCTGTCAGCCATTGCTTAATTCAGTTAACAATTACAGAGTGAGGACTGTTAATGCTACGCGCTGTGCTGCATCCTGGGGATGTAAAAATGAATAAAATTGTTAGGGCTATTGAAATGGAATTGTGAAAAATACATTGCAGAGAAATCTATCTCAAGCCTCTTGCAGTATTCCCTGAGCTGGAGTGGAGAGACCACTCAGAAAAATAAGGTGAAGCTCTCTAACCTCTGCTGTGTAGCCGCATCTGTGTTCTGGGAAAGGAGGATCACCTGAGTTTTTGTCCTTTTTTCAAGGCCCCAAAATGAGTCTTGACCTTTA